GGCGGTCACGCCGCACGACGTCGGAAAATATTCGTGCAGACCAACAGAGGGACGAACCGACACTGTAATGCTGATCGTCGAACCAGGTTAGCATTGAGTTTCCACTTAAAAGCCTCGAATTTTATACTACACACCGAACGATACTTTTCCACGTATTTCTCTTTCCCTTTGGCTCCCTGAAATCGTTCGTCTCTGTATTCCAATCATTTAACATCTTTTATTTTGAATACCACACCGACTAAAACACAGTTTAATGACTCAACTCGTATCGCTTTGCGGCTGGCGGAAAAATACGATCAAAGTATCGTACAAACGTCTCCGCGTAATGGTGGACGTTCAGTGCAAATTACCGCCATAAAAGCAAACTCTAAATTGTCGTTCTACCGCGATCAAACCGCGGAACAAGAGCCTTCCTCCATGAAGCTCATCGGCCGGAGCGTTACGAGCAGCGGACGCGGCTATTTGTATTCGATTCGCCGTAACGTTTTCGTACACGCCACGTGTGCGCGACCATAGAGAAAGTATACCATGCAAAGTAAAAGGAATAGAACAAGGAAATCGTATCAATGGAAGTGAGAAAGAAGAGGTGGAAAGGATTGAAGGACAAGGCTAGGTATCCTCATGATCTAAAGTCGTGCCTTAGGATTACTCGAAACACTTTAAAGTTTTAAGGAGGCGGCGGTATTTCACGGGGCGACTATTTGTCTAGCTCAGCCTCCCTTGGTTCGCCACGGACGTCGTTTCGGCTCCGCAAAGAAAGAGGGAAAATCCCAGGGTAAAACGTGCATGTACCCGCGTCGCGTTGGTGAGAAATAGAGAAGGAAAGGGTGGCACGAGCGGTCGAGATCTTACTGGAAAGAGGAAAAGGAAAAGAGAAAAGGGGATAGGAAGGAGAGGATATAGGTGGAGAGGTTTGGTGAAAAGGAGAGCTGGAAGAGAGCAGAGGAGTGGCGTAAGCACACTTGCATACGGAATTCACAGGCAGTAGTCTCTATTATCGTGAATTTTCCTTCGGAAGTTATTGCGAGAAAACGGCGGGCCGCGCTACGTCGCATTTTTCCCGAACAACCGACGCCCACCGCCGACTCACCCTCGTCGTACGCGTACATATACATACGTATATAGCAGCAGACCAACTATTCCTTTTCTTCTGTCCCGTAAACGGGGCGACGAGACGCGCCGTAAATCACAACTTCGCCGACTCGTTTCGTAGTTTCACAGATTGCGAATTTACGCGGTTTATAGGCAACGTTCCAGCAGACGTTCCCCTCCATCTTCCTCGTCGCGGATTGTACCGGTTTCACGAAGCTGCGAGACAGTGTCCTCGGTGTTAGGGTTTTGTTTGTGCTTCGTTCGTAACTCGAATTGCTTCACAAGTTTTACGCTTTTGTGCGAAATATACCGGGGCGAAACAATTATCGATAATTTGAAGGCAAGCAAAATTTCTCACAGCAATTCGAATTAAACCATTTGAATTAAAAACAAATATATACTACAAATTGAGAAGTATAGGTGAAATGTTAAAAAGATGTATCCTTTTCACATTTATTTTGCAATTTCTTATTATGTATAGAGTTTCACTACAAAGATAAATTTATGGAAAGATCATTTGTCTTTTAAGTGTTGAAGATGAATCGCACACCTGAGGAACGGAAATGCAATAATTGCAAAAAAGTACAGTTATCTAGTCTCACTCTTGAGTTGTTCGTGTATAAAAGCAGATTCCTAAAACTCATTTTATATTATGTTTTATTTCGATCCATATTGTGCTTCAGAAACAAAATTTTTTGATTTTTTACTTTAATCTACTTCTAATCGTAAATAGGTTAACAATAATTCTTCTATATCTTCTCTAACTTCAAAAAGCTCTTGATAGCAGAAAAGCACAATTAGGTAGGAAATGGTGGAAATATGCAGCAAGATTGGTTAAAAAATGTATGAACGCAATATGAAAAAGTCCCAAATTGATCGATCAGTTTCCATATAAAATACTTGTTTCGCTACTGAATGAAAAACGAACGAGTAGCGTCGTTCATTACCACAGCCCGTGCAACGTTTCGTGCTTTTATAATCGATGTTGTAGAGATATCGATCGCGTTGATAAATCAGAGTTTCAGTGATTCGCAGCACGGTTTTCCCAATTGCGAATTCACACCAGTTTATGGGTTCGAGTAGCTGCTTTCGAAAAGAATTACCGCCCGATTGGAATTAAACGCTAGCGTCACTGCGCTTTGGAGATGATTTTTACGAGCTTACTCCGACGCAAAAATATTCTCATAAATATCGCCATGAATGCCGCGTAAATTATGTATCTCGATGAAACACCATTCGAGATCTAAGCGTAGTGAAATTGTAAACAATCTACGCAAAGTGAGAAGAAAATGATCGTTGCCAATTAAAAGATCATCTATCTGTCGAAAGGTATCATGAAAGAAAATCAGTTTGTCCTATCGTTAAGCTGCTTATCATTTAATGCATTTATCAAAAATTGAAAGATGTTAAAATGTACAGAAGATATATGTGAAACGTATAAAATATCGAAAGTGTACTACTCGTTATGATATTTGATGCGTGAAACAGAGTCTCATGAAAATTCCATTTTTTTAGTTATGTTCATAAAAATATAAATTTGTATAAATATCTACGGTCTAGCTATCATGGATGAAATTTCATGCCCATGCACTCTGTTTTAGTTTGAAAATCAATAAAGTTACACAAATCTGATCAAGCGTTTCATGATCATTCAATATTATAAAAAGAAAGCCAGTTACTATTTGCAACGATCGTAAATAACATCACGGTGATGTTATTACAGGACAATAATGTTCGAACAAAATGATCAGAAAATTCACTCACGATAGCCGTTAAAGATCAATTCATTGATATAATCACAATTGACTTACCTTTGAAACAACACGAAGCACAATTCCTTGTGAGATTCCAATCGGAACACCAATGAGTCGCTTTATTATTCTTCATGGCGCCACGTTCGTACTCCGATAAGTTTGATGACAGACTGACAAGGTTTCACTGCTGCGTAAGCGGTCGAATAACAACAGTAGAGATTCTCTTAATTGCTGCACATCGGTCGAAAAATACAATGTACGCATGTACAACTTTCCTCATAATATTTTAGATGTGTCAGATAACACGGCATAACGTGGAAAATCCTGTGAAAGCGTTGTCCAGGATCATAAATCAGAAGTTCGGCGAGTTGTTGTACATTTTGCAGATTACGAATTTACGCGTTTCATCGTGAATTCAGAGTCGTTTCCATTCGTTGGCCGGGATTAAAGGCGCTCGTCAAAACCAGTTTTACGAGTACACACGGTGTGTCCTCGTATTCCATGAACGTCAAAAATATACGGCGCTCATCGATCGGCGTAATTAACTGCACGGCGAGCAAGTTAACTTAAACAAGGGACGAGAGTCGGGGTTCGATTTTATTAATCGAGCCGCGTGGTCGAACGAAATCGGCACGGCGTGATTAATTAATCTGCCAGTGGCCGTTAAAAGAACGAAGAGAAAAATGACTTTCCGCTTGGCTTTCTAACGTACGTCGATCGTCGAAAACGATCCCCGTTAATTTTTCATGCGACCAGCATAATTCGTTGTGACAATCTCGCCCGGGGATCCGACGAATTTTCAAATAGTATCCACGAACCAATGCAAACAGTTGGTCTCGCGAATCTATCGCCACTTGCCCGGTTTGTTCTACGGAAGATGGGGTTATTTGAATCATCCGAGCTTCGGCATGTTCAAATTTATACTTCAATTTCGTATAGAATACTCAAGTTTGTTGTATATTATGAGGCGGATAAAGTCGTTAATATAATGACGAAAGAATGAGAAAATATTGTGTACCATAAGATCAGTCAGAGAAGATATCAAAAAACGAGAGGATGAGTTGAATAATTCCATGACAGGGCTATTGTTTCAACGTATAACTGAACAGATATAGCGAAATGATACTATACGAACAACTACACTTTCGAGCATCAATTAACTCGTTGCATTGTTTAGCTTCGTCGAAATATCCTACAGATTTGAATGACACCATCGCACCGTATCGAAGAAGTTGAGACACGCGAGTGGAATTATCGCCGTCCGAACTTCCATCGATACAACCACAGGACGCAAGAAACGTCATTTGGCTGATTCGTCGAATGCGGCGCGAGATTTAACGACTTTTCCGAAAGCGAACGAGCAAAAACCGGTGGACTACAGTGCCAGTCCGCGGCACAAAGTCAGCTTTTTGCTAGAGAAAGACCGGCTTACTGTCTGGGCTAATTCTTATGCGATCGTAAATAACCTGGCGCATATATCAAAACTTACAGCGACTACCCATCCCAGAGTAGCTCGCAATCGTCGCCACCGCTTCTGCGTCTTGCAACAATCCTGTCTTATCCCTTTCTTCTCCCTGTTCTTCCACGTTCTCTGCACGTTCGTCAATCTTGCATCCCGGTCGTTCTATCGTTTTCTCTATCCTCGTCCTTTACAGTCGTCTTCATCTGTTCCTGGTTTCATCCCGAGTCGGAGCCAAGCCACATTCTCTCCCGTTCGGTGACAGAAGCTGCCAGAAGCACTTCCAACGGCCAGATTAAAGATACAATCCCGCGATTCTATTAATTAAGAAAGTTAATTACGGCGGAATTCAATTTTCCTAATTGCACATCACCGTGAGTCCTCTCACTCTGCCACTCGTCTCGAGACCCTATCCTCGATATCTTCATACCGTCTCGCTCCGAAGGGCACTCTAACCGTTTCAACCTAAAGTTTTCACCGTCTTTCCACTTTCAGTTCTGCTCAGTTTCTTCCCCTGTCCCCCTTCCTTTCGTTATCTTCCAATTCGACGACTTATTCCACCTTTTCAGTACCTTTCACTCGAACTATCTCGCCTCTATCCTTGTTTTGCAGCGGATTTTCGATGTCTAGGAGCCACCGAATTTCCGCGTTTCTTCCCGGCTAATCTTCTGGAATCTTCGTTCTGAACCGCTCCGCCGCGTCTTTGAAGTTTTGCCTTCCGCGAGAAGAGATTTTAATATTTGGCTCGTATTCAGAGCGCACTATTAAGGACGACGATGAGCTTTTAGCACTGTTGTGTTCGGATTACGAGTTGAATAGTTTGCCCAGGAAAAATTTGGCTAACGACTAGCCGGCGCTAATAACACGGAAACTGTAGTTAAAAGCTACGCCCACGCTTTAACGACGTGTCGTCTAAGAATTCCCGTTCTTGCTGTCGTAATGGCAAATGGGAAACTTCTTTCTTCTTAGATTAGTATTTAAAGCGGCCAAAGTGCATATGAAAGAGACGCATAGAACGAGTTTCGAATGTTTAAGAATACAATAGCGCAATAGCGCACAATCATAATTACTAATATTATGCTAATACTATCGAGTTAACCGATACAATTTCTGAATACAATTATCCAATTCTATTCTTGAGTTTAATTTGCTCGGAGTTAAGTGCTTTCCTTGCTTCAAGCGGTCTAAAGTGAAAAAAGTTACAAAATACAATAGAACGTTTGTTAAAATATGTGGAAGATGCGTATCTATAGTCGTTGAGTTATGTTTCTCAGTTCGTCTTCGAGTCGAGTAGCCTTCTTTCTGCACTTCATATTTCAAAATCATTCCTACTATACTCAGTCACATTTTTACCTGCCACTGAAATTGTCTCGTAGTAAGCAAACCTCTTCGTCTTATCCGGAGATAGAACAATAAAACTGCCCATATTATTAAACGCAATCAAAATATTCATAGACAATCATATTCGTATTCAATAGCAGGAATAATAACACTGTAGTAGCCCGCTATTGATCTCCAAGTCACCAAGTACAAGAGTATCATCATCGACCTTAATAAGATTCACAATCGAGGACGGTTTAAGGCTAACGGTGGGCCTTGTGAATCAACCTTTAAGAGCGCCACTGATCTGATTCACCGAGGTTGGCGGATAACCTTATTGGGTCACTGCTAGTGGTAATGGTTCGTATAAATCAGCCATAAGTGCTCCGCTAAGCTAGCCTACTGAGCTTACCAAAGAACTGTAGATCACCGGGACGTATCTATCAGACGCTACGAATTAAATATAGAATGCAGTGATTAAAGAAAATTATTAAGGCCAGCTGGAGCAATTTGTGGTGTTCGAACGATCCCCAGAGAGAGAGGAAAGCTTTATCGTTGCAAATTATCGTGCAACCATTACACCGTTAATTGGTCCGCGATTTTACTCATTGTTTTGCCGGATGTACACCAAGCTAAACCGTGTCGTTTCATCGTTTCGTTATCGACGTATATCAACGATATTAATTACCATTCTTTTTCAAACGATAATAACACTGGATGCAACAATCGTCGGTAATATTCTTTTTCCTGACGAAATCGAAACTTTTTTCTCTCAATCATCACGGTTTGTCGGTGTTGCATGTCTGAGTGGCTCTAAGAGCCAATTGTAGCTTCAACTTTTACTCGACGAAATCGATTCGTTAATGTGAAAGTCTATCTGTTGTCATGGAGACAGAAAAAGAGAAAGAGAGAGAGAGGGAGAGAAAAAGAGAAGTTAACGTTACGACTACCATGGAATGATCTATAAGCACGAAAAGTTGCAAAAGTGCCTCTCCAACTGGCCTAACTTTCCTGAAGGAACTCTTGAAAATTGTCCTGTATCCTACGCGTTTCAAAAGTCGATCCTTCTTCGAGTGCTACTCGTCGTACTTTGGAAATGTTTCGGCAGTCATTAAACCGATCGATATTCGAACATTCACGTACATCTTCATGATGGTATGTATGAGCGAAGAAGTATACAGAAACCAGCTGTGGTTGTGGCGTAATATTTTTTCGCCACGTATCGTTCGAAAAGCGCTTGCTTCGTTTGACTGTACCGTTTTTAATCGCGAATGGAATCACAAAAGGATAGTATTTCATTTACGGCAGTCATGAAAAAATCTCGAGCACGTTAATTGCCGCGTTCAGATATTTCGCCCAACCGGGGAATTAAATTCGTTTCCTCGATTCGCGGTAATTTCGACATTTCCAACATATAGAAATGTTGATAGATCGAATAGAATCTTTCAGCCGAATCGAAAATTTGAAACGATTTTGCAGCCGCCCTTCGTGCAGTCAACCATGTTGTACGCTCTTTTTCAATAACACAAGGACAAGAATGGATTCTCTTGCTTCAATTCCCCCAGAAAATTTAATAATATCGCAGGAAGACGAGCTTGGGACCGAGTGAGGGACGACGAGAAAAAGAAAAGGCAAGGGATGAAATTTGGAGCCGTATAAACGGTAGCTCAGGGAGTCGTTAGGTATTAAACTTCCTACTAACTTTAGCGCCATGTTGCCTATGTGCACCAAGTACATACATATATATATATACAGATATATCTATATATTTAAAAATCTCGAAAGCGCTCGTGAATTTTCGGCTAGAGACGACATATTGGTGCACCGGGATCTCTACGGGCAGAGAATAATGTTAGAACTTATAGGTGTGACTTTGTGTCTTACTTCATAAGTCACTCGCAATTTTGACCATATTGTTTTTACTATCAAAAGGGGACTCGTAGCCTCAAATGAAATACACAGTAGATGATGAAGATATTTGAATACTTACGTTATGTCTATCATATATATATGATACATATTGAAATTTCATTAGCATTGTAATGAGACTCCCCTATCATGATTATGCCATAGTATATTAAGGTAAGTAAACTAAGATGATAAACTACTCGACTATTATGGAAAAGCTTGAAACAAATCTAAAAATGTACACAGGAGCTAGCAGATATTTAATGCAAATATATGTTTCACAGACGTCATAAAAGTATTTAAACAAACAATGAAATACTAAATTATGTTAAATAATCAAGTACTTAAACGTATCATCCATTGTATTAATACTTCTAGATATTCAATGGGTATATGCTTCTAATAAATATTCTATGGCTTCTACATTCATCTTCAGCTTGCAAATTTTTCCAACTGAATCACGACAGTCGTGTCTCATTACACTGCCAATGAAATTTCAAAATGTTTCATATAATGCATACGATATATACATAAACGTATTCTATTACAAGTGTTCCAATTTCACAGTTTATGTTTCTCTCAACGTGTTTGATATAAATGTTCTTATTCATTCAACGGATTATCCGAGAGATTGATTGTAATTTTCGAACAGTATTTTGAAATTTGAACAAAACATAAACCCACTGCAACGAATTTCAACGACGAATATTCGAAGCCCTGTCAGACCAGAGATCATCGATTAATGCCAAGCAACCGAAAATCCATCGATAGCCTGCCACTCTAATTAAACGCTTAATTGGCCGTACCCTATTCGGGTAGCCAATTAACTATCCTTGATACCCATCCTCGACAAAGGACGAGAACGGATCGTCCGCTGATGTCCGGAATCCGTCGTGATCTTCTGGCCACGAGGCGCCGAGTAGAACAGACTACTCGAATGCCGAGGAAATTGTGTAAACCGCAGGCTGTAGGCTCTAGTACGTCGGACGTTCCATCGACCGTGAACCAAATCGCGTTGACAAAGATTTATATCTTCCCTCTTTATCTCTGAACCGTCTCTTATTTGCATTGGCCAAGGAATTTCCAATTACTACTATTATCTACGATTTACTGACCCTGGGTCATCGTAATTTCCAACAGCGTTAGGTGTAGTGCTCATACTCGTGTATCGTCGATTGAAAAGCTTTCTGGGATCGTCGAATAAAACGGTGAATTAAGTAAATTGCATTAGAAATTTTCTATTATTAGCTTAATTTTTTTTAATATCAGCTGTGTTCGAATTGGTAAGTTTATAATGTTTTAATTAAATAATTTAAATTACAGTATTAAATAATTCAATACACTAGATACCTATACAGGATGTGCAATAATAATTTATGATTATAAATTATTTGTAAATAACCCGATATATGTGCAAATGTTCAAAGAAGAATTGAATGGCTTACAATTAATTATTATTTAACTATTTATGCAATTAATTATTTGGCAGAAATCCTATGAGGATTAAAAACGCTTTTTCAAATGCAATATATTAACATAATTTAATGACCAACCCGTTATTTCCTATAAAAGGTTATGAAGCTATTTAATCGATTGTCTTCTTGTGCCGTGTTTAGCACACAGCTAGTAAATTAGAAATTAGGATCAGATATATATTTATGATAAATGCCATATTGTAAAAGAAGAAGGAAGATTAATAGAGAAATTAGCATGGAATCATAGAATATAAATTCCATTGTGAAATAATATCTGAAGAGCCATATATTTTGATAGGACTGTCAAATATTTTAAAATCATGTTATTCGGTATCAGAAGCGTTCGTCTGTAGACAGAATCAACCATCCCATCAGTGATATGAATTTCATGCGGTTATCTAATAGTAAATGGCCTTATGTTGTATATACAGGCATGTTATGCGACTTTAGGAATTAATACCGATAGTATGCGATCAATCGCGATCGATCTTGGCGAAGGAATTGCTGTCTCTCCAATAATCTAACAATTACAGTACTGAAAATCACCTGACAGATTGATCGAGACATTCCTCCGATGACGTTCCGTTTGAATAATTCTACAAGCTAATAATTGACTTCAAAGTTCCAAAAATAACATTGTGGAAAAATAGAAGTTTCTACAAGTATTTAATCGCCAGAAAATATGAGAGCAATCGCCACAGAAACCGATAAATTTTCGCCACGAACGAATCAGTGGTAGGAAGACAAAAAAACCAATTTCGGAAAAGGAAAAGTGAAAGGAAAATTTATTAGCTTCCAATGTACACAGTCGAATGTAAGCTCATTCCTATCTCATAAAGTGCTTCTATCTATTTTCATCACTGGAGATTCAGACTTGTGCAACTGTAGAAAAAAACATTAAACAGAATACCTGTTGGCGATTCCTCATAAAAGAAAGAAAGAAAGAAAAAAGATCAAGATCTTGATCTTGGTCGATATTGGTAGTCGCAAAGAACCATCAAATCGAAAGTGCGCCAACAATGCAAGTCTTAAAAAGCCAACAGCCATGATCGAAACCTTTACGTCGTACAAATGGCCCTAACTAACTTCCTTAGCGAACTCTAGTAGCTCGACTAAATTCCATCATGAAAATTTCAACGATTTTAAAAATTCCCAACTTCGAACATCCTTCAGACTCGTTCAACTACAGCCTTTGACCGAAAATGTTAGCGTTGTGCTTCGTTTCACTCGAAGCGCATAAATCACATTTCCATCTTTTAGAGAAAATAAATTTTCGAATTCTATTAGCCGGTCAATCAATTAAAAAATTATCTCTATTTAATTCTGGGATCAAGTACATGTTTCTTATCCGTGAGAGCTTCGTTTGATAAACGTTCTACTTCATCTATTAATTTTTCAGTTTGACAGTTTCTTCTTCGATTTTCTGGTTAAATCTTACTTTGGGGGATGAGATTTGAAGGGTCGGTTATCCTTTCACGACAATTTAATATTAGGGCATTAAGCCACGAGAATCTTGCACGCACGTAGAGCTCGACGCCTTATGTAATAGATTTTGGCAACGTCAAGCGATGTTCTTGTAAGCACAGCTGAGTACGCGTACACGTGCCCGACGCCATCTGCTCGTGGCATGTTCTTTGCATTCACGTATGGGACGTGTAATATCTTTATTACGTATTACAGCTCCTGGAACCCCTACTGCTTCTCAAAATTCAACCTCATCCTGGCAAACATGTTCAGTCCTTCTGTTGACGCGTTAAGAATAATTGATGTTAGAATTTATCATCTTTCAAGATATCGCTGATACTTTATAAATTAAGATTCCCATCGTTCTTTTAGCTATCTCTTTTCTGCTTATAATTCTCAAGAGCCAAAATTCATATAATCCACTCAAATAATATTTCAATGCACTACAAATATTTCACATAGAATTAACGAATACATGAAAATCACGAACAAGAGCAATCGTGATAAAAGCTCGCAATGTAACCATCTAATCGGACGTTGGATACACACAATTGCTTGGGAAAATCACGGTTACGTTCGAATAATTATATGTTATGGTCCTACTTAAGAGTAAAAAGTGTCCAACTGGTGGCTAAAGAGCGTGGTAATTAATAAAGACGTTAGCTCACCAGTGCAGGCCGGTGACGTAGAAAAAACCAATAATCCGATAGTCTACGCGAGACATTGATTTACGAGTGGCCAGTTTCATTATTCTTTCGTTCTGGCTAACGCTATCGATACCTTCCTCCCTTCGTATCTCCGTCCTCTCTATCACGAAAAGTCGCATCTCCGAGTTATAATCATAAATCTATGATTGTGCGTTATCTTAGAAATCCAATGGTGAAACCGGATTTAAACTGAGAAGGAGTGTTTTATTTCTGTTTCAGGAGAACGTACGGAAGCCATGCAACGTGACGCCGGATACGTCTCTGGCGGATGTGACGTCAGGCACTGGGCCGGGCTTCTACTTCCGTTCTCGTGGTTTCTAATACTCGCACGAAACAGCCAAACTTTCCTGCAATAGCGCACACTACGACAGTATTTCACGCGCGTTTCTCTCGTCCTGTCCCTATTCTCTCGTTCTTCCCGTCGACGGGAGAGAAAGTACCTAGAAATTCGACCAAACAGCGAATAGATCGTAAGTTAGATACGTAGGAATTATTGATAAGAGGGTAACGAGGAGCCATTACACGTAACAGAAACACCGCCATGGTGTTCCCATTTGAATTTCACAGCCAACTCGATTTACAGAGATTATTCGCAGCTTACACGGCGTGCTTCATGAAATAATTCTGAAATTCATTTCGAGATTGATTTGATTGAAAAGAGAATTGATTCCAGTTTGAAGAACACAGATGAAAAACATGATAAATAGATTGTGTATATTTATGCAAATTTGTATTTTTATGAATACGATTAAAAATATGGAAGCTAGCAAGAAATTTGTTTCTCCTACTATATGTTATAATTGGTACTGTATTTTGGATATTTTATACACTTTTGCGCAGTACGCGTATTCTGTGCAAAGTCAATTCTGTTCGCAGTCTAACGTTGAGTCTTTATAAAAGAACAACGATCATTGTCATAGTTTTACCATGTGTTCTTCGTTCTTTTTGGCTATGGAGTTACTTCTATCGTATTGCGTGTCTGGCAATAACTAACAAAACGATGCATAGAATACGTAGCGGTGATGGTGGATAGTTAAGTGGAATCGATTAGGATAGTTTAACAGCAATCGACAATTATTGAAACACTAGAGAACATCCGCGCTTCGCGAACCACTCTGTATCTCCGAGATTACTTTAAAAACCGACGCATCGCGATGGTTCGCTCGTTTTTTAATCGGAAGCAAATTTCAAATATTTGAATTTACGAAATGACGGTGTGGAAATAACGAGTCGTTTAGTCGGTTCACAGTGCTTTCCGCGTTACTCTTCCTCCTTCAATGTTGAATTTCCGCACGATGTGGATATTCTCTTTAAGAATTATTAAGAAGATCGAGCAATCCGGGGCAATTCGTCGGAAAAAGTGGTAGAAACGAGAGTCGTTGAAGGAACCTTTGGTAAATTTATTTTTTACGTAAATAATTCAGTAAGTGAGCCGCAGCAACGATCTGAGAACGGTGTCGGAACGTCTTTTTCACTACGCCCTTGCAATTCACGACGCTTCTTTGAGCGTCCCTCTTCAAGTCAATGGGATTAAAGTGGCCGAGTAACGTCAAAGGATGTGCAAGTAATTTGATATCCTGTATCTTAACTCCGCCGATGCCTCTTTGTAACCAGGGAACAGCATTAATGAAATTTTTTTCTTCATTCGTAATTCTTCATTCGTGGAACATGAGAAAAATAACAACCGTTTGCGATAATTTTACACATGAATGTCGCGTGGCTTTCAATTATTTTGCCACTCGGATGTGGCAAACAAACCAATTTTCTTTTATTTCCCTTTCCGACATTTCTCTGTTTTATTGTTACAGAAGTAGATAAAAGAATGTTTAAAATTGGAAGTATGAATTAGTAATTTTTATGCTAGACGTCCTTTATCGTATTAATAATAATCATCTATTTTTAAATTAGGAAATGGAATCTTCCTAAATTTCCAAGCGAATTTGAATTCCATTACAAATTCAAGTTTACACTGAAAGCAATTAGAGAGGATCAATGAACAATGCAAACATAATTCAATTCGTAGAATTATGACGTGCTTTCGTACTATGTATCTTACGAATTTTCTTTACCACGTTATATATATAATATGATTAACTTAATTCTCAGAAAACGATGGTTTTTCTTTACGAAATTGGTCAATTTAGTCTCGATATGGCTTGTTAAACGTACAATTCGCAGTTATCCTCGCTAGTTTCAGGTTTATTTATGAGCGTACCTTAACGGTCTTAAACGGTCTTAAACACGCACAATTAACGCCACGGTTAAGATAGTATTTATTATTACGATACCTTAAGTAGACTTTTGATCATTATTGAAACGAATTTGTCTGTATATTAGAAACAATAGGTTTATAACAGCACAAAGATATTTAACTGTACCTCTAAAATATTTAAACACGCTTTGTACGATATTTCTAAAATAAAACCTCTCGAATCGCATACTGTATTTCATTACCTGTATCGCTATACTGTATTTTATCTTAATATATACCAAACACAATCCTTGAACACAAGAATATTTAAATATGTTCTGTGCTATGTTCCCAAACTAAAGTACATTCCAAACCATATCGTCGTACTGTATTTCATTTTAATGCTCAACATATCTCTAAACACGTGAATATATGTATTTATAAACGTGTCTTGCAAGATATTTCGAAACTAAAATTTCCGGAACGACATCACCATACTGTATTTTATTTTAATGTCTATTACCTGACGCATTCGTAAACAGATGAATATTTAAACACGCTGTGCACGATGTTTCTAAGATAAAACCTTCCGAGCCATTTCACCATACTACGTTTCACTTTAACATGCTAAAACCTTTAACACCGGCTGATTGAGATGAATTTCAGAGGGAGGCAAGGAAAAGAGATAGAAGGGAACTTCGAAACGAAATTCAGGAAATCAGTAAGCCCGTGACCCAAGACGAAGGGAATGTCTCGAGGTTCAAATCTACGCCAGTTCAAAGCTTGAAAAATCGTTTCACGGATCGCGGATTTTCCTCCTTCTCCAACACTTTGATGTGTTATGAATTACAAATAACCCGGGACGGAGGTTTTTGCGCGGTCGGATGCCAGGGTGACGAACAGATTAAATATTTGATCGTCCCGGTGAATTGCGTGTCGTGTTACGAGTACGTAACTTGGGGAAGGGAATGTGCTACACCCTCTGTTTTTTACCTCCGGTCAGACCCTCCGATACGCGCGGGTCAGACCCGTTACGTAACTCTTGCCGGCCTGGTTTTACACTTCACCACGTCCTTTTTACACGGTCGACACCTCGCCAACTTAACAATATCCTGTAACGTTTCAACGCATTCTTCGACACGCTACTATATGTCCGAATACTAATAAAACCGTGACGACATCCCTCGGTATTATGGATCGTTCGTGCCAGAAACTAAACACTCGGGATAAATGACCTGGACAGAACGTAATAAGAGAATAATTGGTCGAATGAGTGTGCATGAGTGACACGTGAAATCCTTCTTTAAAACGTTTCACTAAAATTTAGCAGGGAATTTATAATTGGCAAGAACATGACGGATTCTGTGGATTAGAATTTTGAAAATACTCTCGAAGAATTTATAATTTTGCATATAGTTTACTGGAGATCTGTTGATTTCTGATAAAGAAGGAATTTATCAAGCTACAAGTCTGATGATTAGATTGAGCATTTATAGAAAGTAATATTGTAAGTTACACATATTACATTGATAGTAATTAAGTTATAAATCATAATCATATCGATAGTTATTAAATTATGCAGTACAACACCTCATATCGTGTAGCTTCTAAATTATCACGAAAATAAAAATACAGAGTTGCATGGAATCCTAATTATGGGTTAATTTGCGATTATTCTAATTACAATTTGAAAACACACACGCGGTCGTGTCTCGACAGCGAATAGAATATTTTAGACGAGAATTTTTCCAAAATTTCTTGAACGCAGGTCGTATCTTCAACGAACCACGCGAGATAAGTTCATCTCAGTCTAGTCATATGAAATGTAACAATAAAATCAGTCTGCTTGGGAAACGTTAGAGACTAAATTTGTTGAGGTCTGGCAAAAAGTTTGCTGGTCGTCTTGCACAGACCAGTGACACCGAGGGAAGGGTGAAACGGTATTCGGCGAGTAAGGGGGTGGGACCGACTGGTTGGAGTTGAACCTGGATGACAAGGCTCTCAACCGGAAACAGTTACCACCGGCAACACCACCACCAGCGTGGCAACTTCAACTACAGCCACTAACCGACCCTGTCCGAACTTGAAAAATAATTCAGCACGCAGTAATGTCCTGAATATAAAATTCCCGAGGAATCAGCCAATTTCGAGGCGGAAAGGGCAGATCGGGCTTCCGGTGAATTTTCATTTATAAATTCTGAGAACTTCGAGTCGGATCTCACATAAAATTGCTTGAGGCTTCGGGGCCACTGTTCGTGGATGGATGGAAAGCGGTTGAAGCTAGGTAGGTCTTCTAAATTAATCAGTGCGCCGAAGTGGAATTCTTTCGGATTTAACTTTCCAGGGAAGTTAAATAATGGCCGATAATAATCACTTAAGTCACGGTTCGATTTAATCCTCGTGGATCGAGCGTTGCGTTCAGCTCTACTGTTCATCCATGTTCTGGTATAACGATATAAATGTCCAAATAAAATTCGTTGCACAATGATCTCATACACGAAATATCCTGGTTTTTATTATTAGAAAAATTTTGTGTTTCTAACTCGTTTCGTGTTATTGCGTTTGATCGAAAACTTTTTACCAAGGGTAGTATTTCTAGTAAATAAACCGGATTGTATTGACGATACAGGCAAAATTTGTTTGTGAATTATCCGTTTTATCTACGAAATATAAAAAATATATTTCTCCAGAGGAAATTGATCTGATATGGAAAATATCGGACCAAACACGGGGAAACTTCGAGACGACAAATCGACAAATCGTGTCACTGAGTGTAACCGCGATGCGAATTGGAATTCGCGAACCTCAGGATCGTCGTTTAAAGTATCCCTTTAAAACGACGCGTAGAATAAGGATAAAATAACGCTAAATTTACGACCGGCCGTGAATCAACATGCTTTATGATTGTTCGGGTTGCGGATGATAAAGGGCGAGAGAGCGGAGAAGTAGGTAGACCATAGAGGTCGAACGAAGAGCTCGCACAGTTCGAAAGGGCGGAGAGGGTAGCAGGGTGAAAATTGGAAAACTGCATTGTCCAGCCGCTCTGTTCCCGTGGGACACATTCGTTAGCAGCATCGTCCACTGGCAATAAATTTCGCATATCTTCTACATTCCCGTCTTTCATCCTTGCTCAAATTAAAGATCAACTCGATTCAGCAAATGCAGCAATAACAACAACAACCGAGGCTTCTGTATATATGTGTGGAAAACGTATCGGTTGATTAACCAATCGGATAATAGGAAACACGGTAGTTGACGAAAGTATTTTATGAATATATTAGGTTATTATATAAAACAGTTTGAACATGGGGTATATAATGAGACATTGCCATTGAGATTATATTGGTAAAAATGAGGAAAAAAATTGGTAAAAAAAAGATATAGTTCACAGAGATCACCAAAATACTTGGACGGTCATACATTATGTTATTGTACTATTATAATGTATAATATTAATGTATTGTAATATTAATATGTTTGTATAATTAGTTGTACTATTTCTTTACTATGTGTATGTTAACGATAAATGTCTTAGAAATTCTATATAATAATGGATTATAATAAAATTTCAAAATGTTTTGTAAAAATCACATAATATGTTCATACAAATTTTCTATAATACGTGTTTGAATAGCATCATTGTTCCACTATGTGAAATTAAACGTAAATTAATGGAAACGATAGTAGAAAATGGTACGATTGTTATTCAATAGACACGGGAATTATGAGAAACCAATCACGCGTGTAATTAATTCCTTTCGCTGGAGCGAAAAATTCTCGCGTTTCAATCATGAAACGTTGCACGATCGGAGGAAATGACAATCAATTTTCAGTGTCATTTGCCTCGTTAACCAGCAAACGAGCGCGTAAGGATTGCATTTCCCATAAAAAATGTTTGTAATCTTGCTTTGTTGACGCGCGATTCAATTCCGCTGTAACGAATAAACAGCGGCAAACGAATGTTCCATTTCCATCGGGCGACTCTCGGCCGCGTTCACTCCAATTCGATACAGATCCGAGTGAATGGCTACGAAAAACTGGGCCGATTTAAAGCCACCATAGCATGGGTGCAGTCCCGAATTTCGTTAAGTGACGCGATTTCGCTAAAAATTCAATTTACCAAAGTAATCTACCGTGCTATGGATATCAATATTTCCATCAAAAATCGGCGGAAAAATGGTCTGTCTTGGAACAAGCATAAACCGAACAATTTGTCAGTTATTGCGTAAAAAGTTTTCAAAAATAAAAAAAATCTCGAATTTAAAATTGAAAATTTTCGATTCCGATTAAACATTTTCTTTCATAAAATAACGAAACTTAATGGTTTATAACGATAGATACATCGATGATGATTCCAGTGTTTTCCAGTCAGGGACGAAAAGGAGACGAGAATTACGTGACCAATAAAAGCTATACGCCATCTTGGGCCGTTAACCTGCGATTCAGTTTCACTGTAACGAATAGCCAGATCCGAAACGCTTGCACCTCTGCCACCCCTTATGTGTCTCCCGAATCGCACGCGAAAAGCCGGAATTGCTCTCGACTATCGAAAAACAATTAAACCCGTAAAATATCGGCAAACAGGACTCGATGGACGGCTGATATTTTATCAGTCGTAGCTTGCAGCCGTTTCTCTCAACTTTTCCCACCGGCTTATAGAAAATATCTAACGATTCATTTCACTGTCATATTCTATACCCTCAATTTTCTTTGACGAATAGAACATTGATCGGAAAAAGCAACACATTAAAATATTCCACATGTGACTCTATTTCGAAAATATTCATCGTCGTTCGTTTAAATAGCAAGAAAACACGATTTTCATTAGATGGAACCAATCGGTGATAGCCTATCGAACATTCGTACGCAATCAACAGAGATTATGTGATACGAAATTGGTTCAACGACCATTTGAAAAATATCATTCGACCATGGAACTATTAAAAGATGAAGAGTCGCGTACAATTTTTCGTAATACATTTCCCCTACCTTCGAAAAGTTTGCGAATATGTAAAATTAACCCTCTCGTTCCTATTCAACAATTCCCCTCGATTTTTCCATTCTTCTTTTTCCTCTCTTGTATAGTATGTTTTGCTGTTTAGTTGGTGCGTGTACACGTTCAATTCTACCAATCCCTGAACGTCGAGTTTCACGCGTGGAAATCACCTCGTATGTAACTTTCACGCACACCAGGCCAATGGGAAACGAATATCGGAACAAGGCTTCGAGCCATCGCGAACACGATTGTTTTCAACTGCTATTGCGATTAACGACCCGAATATTTTCCAACGAATTTCCAGTAAACCAGTAAAGAAATCAAGGAAAAATAGTAGAAAGAAAAATTGTAGAACGAAATACGGGAGATCAGATGACTCGAATGACCCTATTTCACTATATTATGAATAACGCTACAATATCGAATAAAATAAAGTTTAAATTGCTAAATATCGCATATGGCTACTAGTAACCTTTCACCATATTAGGAAGAATCCTAATATGTATGTAATATAATATAAGAATCCTAATTAATTCCGAAATTTTTCACTTTTGAAGCTTTTTTTATCCGCTGCTGTATGAGCCAATGCATTTTACTGTCACTGTAGATTACTTGTAATTTTCTAATTTCGAATAAATCTTAATACGCTTATGCGAATCGTTGATAAATTCTTCCTTGGTAAAATTACAATTTCAAATGCTTGTACCTATGACAAAAGAAAGCAGAGTTCACAGAAACATAACTGTAAGGGTAGAAAAGAAAATTCCTGTCGATGGAAAGGGCGAGAACATCAAGGGATGTAAAAAGAGTAAAATGGAGAAAGGTAAGTTTCGGTAAGGGGAACGAAACTCGGAATGGCACACGTTTCCACCATTTCATCCCTTCTTTTTCCCTTGGTCGATTCAAGGGTAGGTTCGACAGGATCGCGGCGAGTGATTGTATCGAGTCCTGGGCTACCTGAGACCTGTACGCCGTTATTCACGCGGCGAATAATGTCGAGAGACACTTCGGGACTCGGTCGATTGTTTTTCGGCGACGGGCGAAATTGATTACTACGGTGTCTGGGGAAATATGACGTAATGGCGCTTTGTCGTAAGCGTATTATCCGGGTGTCCTCTTCTTTTCTGTAATTTTTTCTTTTTTTCCCTGTCGTTCTTTCCACGAAACCAGGCAGGCTTGAGAGATTGAATCTGAAAATGTTCCGAGGAGAATTTGACATTTGCGAGATTAAGTGATACTTCTTGCGGTTGCGTTGCCGTTGACGATGATAAATCATCGGGATCGAATTTTCGAACGGTCGGTATCGTCGGAATTTTTAGGTTGAGTACCATCGATCACCTTTCTCTTTTTTTCACCCTGCTCTCTCTCTCTCTTTTTTTCTTCTATTCTTTTTTTCTGCTCTTTTTTAAATCGTCGATGCTGTTTGGTAACCGTTCGGCGTGCTACTCGTGCAAATAACAAACTCGTTTCCATCGTTGCAGCGAGAAATTGCGTCGAACGATAGGCAAACGCTCGAGCAATTTGCGTATCGCTTCGGCTCGGGATAACGTCGATAAGAAATGTACTATATACAAAAAGAACGAAAGAAAATATATGCAATATAATGGAAATTCATTGTTAGTCCCGGGGATAAGATAAAAATGAAATGCAAGAAAAGAAACAGAAAGAATGAAGAAAGGAGGAAGAACGTTGAGAAACTGATATTGAAATACGGGAGGAACGAATTGTGACAGCCTGTTTTATATCATCATTACATTTATTGAAACAGTATTCACGTCGATGAATATCTTTACAGTATAATAGTCTGTACTCGTTTGCCGCACTTTACCTCTGCCACTTTGATTTATGCTGACGTTCCTCTATAACATGGTACATTATCGATTATGAATTTTTTTTCTGTTTTCTTTCTTTTTTTTCTTGTTAGTATGTACAATGCGATCTAGGCTTAACTATAAATTGTGCAACATTTCGTAATTATGCGAGTCGCGGATATCGATTATCTAGTGACACAATTAACGTGTAACGTTCTTCTCGATATTTTTCTGTTTCTTTCTTTGATTATCAGCGATTAACGCGTGCTTCGAGCGAGCTACACTTATCGTTTCATCTTTATTTTCTTCGCTTTATCTCACGCGTGAGACCGTTATCGATGCCACGTGGAGTGTTGACAATCTCTATGTAACATCGAACCTAGATCATTATAACCGAACACCATTCCAAAGGAACGAGACTCGAAGGTGGTCCGGAACAAAGTATTGAAAAATCGAAGGAAATTCACTTTTTTTATCGATAACGACGATTTCCACTTCTCTCTTTCCTGATCCAACATTATTTAAATCGATTAACGTCCATCCCGATAACACTATTTCCCTTTGAATAATAATATCACACGCGGAACAACATTCAAAAATCTGGCGTCTGACCGATCGTTTTATTTCTCGCGTCTCGTTAAATTGTTCCTTTTTTCTTCTTTTTATCTTTCTTTTTAAGTAACCGCATTTAACTGTTTACTTTAACGCTATCCTCACGCGTCAACTGCAAAATATTGTCCTCTCACAACGACATAAATTACCGTATAAACTATACAAGAAGGAATAATATATTATATCGCGAACCTTCTGTTTCATATTGTAAAATCCGTGCAACGTAACACCGTGAATGCGTTCTAGCAGTCTGTTCTACACCGTACGTCCCAGTTTCTCGTCCACGTGGTACAACATTATAAAAAATCTATTTTAGACCTATGGTTAAGTCGCATCTTAATTCGCTATGCCGTTTATGATATCGTTTTTCCTTTACTCGTTACATTATTTTATCCGTAGTAAATCTACTAATTAAAGTTACTATCGTCGTGTCTTTAGACCTCGCGTTATTCTCGCCACGAATATTCTAAAGAGAGGCTGACGAATCGACACACGATGAACGAACAAAAAGGAGTAGAAAAACTTGAATCGCGAGACTATTACGAAACAATGAAAATTTATCTCTTACCATCGTCTCGATAAAGTTCGTATTTGTGCCATCTTCGAATTCGATGCTTACTCGATAGCAAATTTTTACACGCGTGTGCTTCTTTTCTTTTCGAAGTCTTAACAGAATGCTTCTCTTTCGCGTAACGAATATCTATTAGCGATACTCTTAAATCGTACGCATACGTTATCCTTCGTATGCCTATCTATACACGAGTCCTATATTTAAGTCACGTTCGTAGAATTCGTAATTCTTACAATGTAATTCTCAGGGAGAGTTGTGATTGCATCTTCTTTTTGATTAGACGTTAAGCGATAAACCAGCGACCGATCGATAGCGACGAATTGCAAGTGAAAACGATGAAGAAAAAGAAACGTTTCTTCGAAAAAAAAAGGTACCAACGAAATAATCGCGTTTCCTAAGAAACAGAAAGTGAGCAGATATCGTGAGCAACAACGAATCGACGCGCTTACTCCTCGTTTACCGAAGTTTCTCGAACAAACAGAAACATATCGAGCGTGATTAATGTATTTATTCATTGCTAAAAAGAGCGATGACGTTTTACGCGTCGATGGAAAACACACTTCGTCGATCAAGAATCGAACGTCGGTTTTGATTAAATTACAGTGATTTCGATGGGTCCATTGGATGGACGAATCAGACCTGGGCAAACTCTGAACGATCTAATCCCACGATCGACGATAGAAGTTCCATACACGTTAAACGTTCCAGAGAAAATCGAAATATGTGGTTCCTTTATGTACAAACGTTGCCCAGGTCCGACGATGTTTCTTCGAAATTCTCGATCATCACGTTGTACTGTACAAACGAAGTCGTGACAAATCCTATTTATTGAACGACCTTCTTCTTTTATATACAGAGAGACTCACGCCACCTATACGATTTAATGGTAATTAATCGACTATCCAACGTTGGATTGTAAATCATTGATTTCGCTTGTTTTCGACTGTTCGAACAGTCTATACGACGAATCTGTATCAATCGTTTAGAGTCAACGAGATGGCTAAGTAAGTACGCTGGACACACTCGTTCATCGATCGCATCGGTTTTGCAGCCTCGCAATTCTCACGAGATTCTTTGAATACCGTCGTTGTGTCGGTTCAGATTCACAGAGACCACAAAGCGAACGATTGTCTTCTTTTTTCTTTTCTCACACACGATACTTGCGAAGGAATCACACGGCGACGTGGACCACGCGTGAATGGGTCAACGTCGACGGAAAATTGCTAGAGAAATAGACATAGGAATAGTTTATGTGGAATAAATTTACGGTAAAAACGTACGTGTGCAAAGTCGAGCTCCACTTCCGTGTCACTGTGTTTATCACACATGGCCAGATCCACTGCACTTTGTCCATGCCTAGGTCCTTTCTTTTGTTTTTTTCGTTGGAAAATCTCCGATGATCTCACGCGTTAACAACGCCAGTCACGTTGCTATTTAAAACGATATCTCGCGTTCTTTCTTTCGTGCACAATGACCTCCGTATGCTTCCTAAAGGAGAACGCGGTTTTCTTCGTTCACGTTTTACCTTTTCAACGATTCCTGGTTTCGGTGATACATGTTTGTCTCGGTACACGAAACGAGCTCGATCAGACCGTGTGGCTTGGAAGTCGCACGATTCACAACGATACTGCTCACCTTAGCAGATTCGATATCACCAGGGTAAAGGTCGCTAATAAGATGGTCGGCGTAACGCCGCAACTTCCGCCGTGTTGCATCGCCGCAGGATGTTCGCCTGCAACAGAAAAACGTCTCGCGTTATTCTCCAATCGTCTTTCTATACACGTGTTTCACAGATTGCGGATGTTTATGTAAATTTATATGATTGTCGATATAATTAAAGGAAAGAAAGCTAACCAAAGATTTCTTTCGCTCGTTAAATATCGTAACGAGTATTTTATTTCATAATATTTTTGCGTTTCAGTATATAAAAAATACGTGCATTGTAGTTTTATAACTGCAATTTTTTCACAAATGCATAAACATCCACAATCTAATTGACAAACATTTTCCAAACACGACAGATAGCAAAGCAGGCGAAAGTTTCTTGCAGAAATCATAGAAATCTACGATATCGCGTTTTAAAACATTTTCCCCGTTTTTCGCATGATTGTGCTCCGCAAGAAAATTATAATTTCATTAATTCATTGAGGGACAACGTTTTGCTTGTAATTTCTTTCCTCTTTAATCAATTCACATTATTGAATGCCAGTGAATTGATATCGTGGTTACCGGAGAAAATTCCAAGAATATTATGATTCGTTAAAATGCCAATAAAATTTCAAAATCTTTCATATAACACACATGATATATTCATAAAAGGATATTTCTACGGATATTTGTCAAATAATTTCGTGAGCAATCGTGGATTCGTCGTTGAATTCTTATCGGACTGCTTCAAATAAACGTTACTAAATTACTTTGCTGGAATCGTGCAACGGCTCACAGTTCCATTTCAATTAAGGAGTTTTTCACTGATAAACGTATCCCAGAGCTCAAATATTTCCGATTTAGTACGTTTCGAAATCAGCAACTTGTAATTTTCTCTTCCTCTAAAAATCAAATACACGTTGGTGGGTAGTACCTAAAATTTATCTGCAATTTTTTATCAAAAGCGAGAAACACGTTGATATGCAGCGATGTTCGATTTTCCAAACCGCAGCGCTGCTTCGAAGCGTGGAAAACACGTGCAGAGCGGCGAGTAAATATTAGCGGAGAATATTTCGAAGAGAAATGATTGAAATCGCTATATTTCTCAAATAAAACTATTCCTATCTGAGCGATCGAATTATTTAACAGCCAAGGTGCGTCCATGGAATTGAATAATTATGATGCCAGATGTAACCAGCCACGGAAGCAGCAGAAAGCACGAGGCCAACAGAAGCGACGAGGCAACGTTAATCACGAACTATCCCCTCGGTTCGGCTGCCCGATTTCCATATATACATTTCATATATCCAGACAAATGTTAACGGTGTATCGGCCGGGTGAGCGTTGCCGATGTATACGCAGCATCCGGTGGTAATAAAGATAATCACGACCGGTGCACGATGCCGGTGCACGCAGGTCTTGTTACGAATAGTCGTGTTCCTCTCGTGTTTCCAGCAAACGTGGCCTAACATCGTCGCGATTTACGACCGAATCGAAAATCTCATTCGGCCGATTTCGAAGGGCCACCATCGCCTGTGCCACGCTGTGCTAACGAAGCTGGCGTTTTCGTCGAAAAACGACATCGTTCGTCGTCCAGCTCTCGGCTTGGACCTCGTAATTGCGTTAATGCGCGGATAGTGCGCTCCTCTACGGATAATCCTCGCGGCTCTGCGCGCCGGTTTATCGCGAAATAATTGAAATTTGCGGTCAATTTTGCCGAGTAATCAGCTGCGTTTGAAATAACGTCGATGCTATATCCCTCGCTCGTACCGGCACGATTGTAAATTAATTATGCAGACGAACTGCGCCGCATTAATTTTCATCTGGCATACCGGCGCGAGGTGTTCACGTTTTACTCGGTCGCGAATCCGCACGGGGATTCCACGTCTCTACGACGATATTTGAAAGGGAGATTGATTCTGTTCGTGCTCCCTGGGTCGATAACAAAAATATGTTCAGTTGAAATACGTTGATAGGATCGTGTATGGCTAATCTTGACGTCATAATGCGGATCATATCGATTAGCATCTTATTGTCAGGTGAGCGAGTCGATCAATTATATGTGGTTTTTGGCTCGGTGTAATATAGGACTACTCTTTAGTAGTGAAAGTAACGATATATCTACTTTTTCATATATACTTTATATATGTATATTATATAATAATTTTATTGATATATAATTTTATATCACTCGGTAGTGGTTTAATAGAGAATAATAAAGAAAAACGAGAAGTAGAAACTGATAAATAGTCGTTTGACTGCAAAATAAGGTATGCCCACTGTCCAGACTATAACTGAACCTCGTTTTTTTACGAATTTATGGAAAATCTTACGCAAAAATCCCATAGAATTCGTGTGATATAAAAAATATAGAAAACGACGCACGTTAGAATGTTCGGTAGACGAAAAACATGTTTATCTATCTTTCGTTCTTCCAATCATATTGATAGAAGTATGAATTTCCGTAAAACATTCGCAGCCTAATTTTAACGCTGCTTAATTGCTCCTTACACACTTCGCCTCTGGTAATTTCGCTAAAATGGTGTGCAATTTAGGAGCCGTACAACAGGCGCGGAGAGTGAGTCGTCAAGTTGCGTGGCGTGACGTGTTCCAATCCCGGTACTTTCTACACGAATGCGTGGTTGGCGCGAGCCGCGCCTGATGATTGACAGACTGGATTGGTGAAGTTGCCGCGCAAGATATTGCATGTGTTATCGCGAATGTTGCCGGCTGACAATAGATCAAAACCAAGTGTACACGTGAGGGAGGGGCCGAGTACTTGCCGCGGCCCCCAATATACGAGCCTGTCAAACTTTATGACGAGGGATTTCGATGCTTGATGAATGAATATGTCTCGTCCCTTTTCCACCTAGCGCTTCCAGGAGCTCTCCTCTTGGCGCGAGCCATTCAAGTTGCATCTCACGATACTGGAGGACAGCCATTGTCGGCGAATTTGTCGAACAATCGCGGCGTAAAGGGACGGCGATACATCTTCGACGTCCAACCCGCCGGTGGGTGGACAAACATGGCCACGTTCCATGATTCTCAAAGTGTCAGACGAATAGTTCGATGGTTCCATCGCGTACTTTAGGGAAATAAAATTGATAGGGAGTTCGTGCTTTCTGTTGTGGACACGCGTGTAGCTGCTTTCCTATGGTATGCTGGCGGACCCTAGATTGATAAAGAATTTCCTTTAATATCTGTATTATATGAATTATATGACAAATTCGCGAATACACGCGGATATTTAGAAATATCTATTATGAATGTGTGTATTATGTGCGTTGTACGATATATTTTGAAATTTTACTAACATTTTTCTGAGGCTGATGGATTAATATGTAGGGAATTTTATATCAAAAACTTGCGACCTAATTACGAACACGTATTGGCTAGTATTAATTTTATAACCTTACAGAACGGGAAAATAGTTTTTGATATTTTATTCCTACGTAAAGTTATTGGCATTACACAGCAATCTAGAATTAATATTCCATCTAAAAATTCCAAATGTATTATTTGGAAATGTTTCAATTGGAATGTATTATTCTTGATAATGCGGCGAACAAGTTACAAAGTAAATTGTATATAAAGTAAAATTTGCAGCTTGCGTAAACGGAAATTGCGTTGAAATGCATGTTCGAAACGATTAGAGGATCGTTGCGGGTTTATGATAACAATTGGACTGTGTGACTTACGTAGATTTAAAATATGTTATTCGTTATAACATTTAGTGAACAAAGCGTTGCTATAAAGAGCCGGTCTTGCATAAACAGCCACAGTCTAATAACAACGATTCATATCACACTGCAGATTGAATGTAAAAACTACACACAAGCACAAAAAGCAGATGACGTGGAAAATGATCCTGCAATTTTTCTATGCAGTATACAGATCTTTCCGAAATTTAGCCTTATTTCCTATTTCTCTCATTGTATTTTGCGCCAGTTTTCCAAACCTATGACGATTTCCAAATTTCATTTCCTTTTAACGAGAGCTAATGCTCGCTCGAAGGCAGAGATAGGATGTCAGAAGACGTTCCGCGATGCGTGTCGATTTAAGAAGCGAAGGAAATCGCGCGAGCGTTGAAATGCTCGCGATTTAACCTGGCAGCGGATGCTTGTCGATTTTTCCGCACGATTTCACCTTTTAAATGCGTTTGCTCGCGACGTTTATCGAAGGCCGTGTGCATGACGTAACAGAACGTTTGAAATGATGCCCGTATATCACTGGCAAAAAATAAGAGAAACACGCGCCTAAAAATGAACACGGCCGCGCATTGACGCGGCGTATTGAGGAAACTGCTATAGAGATTCAAAGCAAATAGCATAAAAATAAATCGACGAGGATAAAATTTCTCTGGATCCGGATAAAACGTGAATCAATAAACGGAGAGATATAGACGGATGGGTTTCGATTCTACGCTCAAGCTTCCTAGATGAAACGCGCCAAACGCTTTCACACCCATTCCTTTTCGAATCAATGTTCTAAGTCATCCATCACGTTTCATCACCCCTTGGATGTAATTCGCTTGATAATAATTAAATGAAACAATTGAAAGTACGTTGTAATAGCCGATGGATTATTATAATCGAATTGCTGATAAATTGCTAATAAACTCTCTTGTGTCGTGCTGGAACATCGAAAGCGATGAATTTCTGGCCTCTCTGAAAATTGATACGAATAACGCGGTCAAATTCCGTTGGGATGGACGCGTTAACAAGTTGAAACGATATTTCGGAGGGGGGGAGGGGCGGTGAGGGTGAAAAAGAATCGTGACGAGGTTCTTTTAGCCAGGATAAGCGGCGTTACAAGAAGAGTGCGGATCAATATTAAGAAACTTGTGTGTCACGGCGCAGCTACGTCTAGGCGCAAGACTGATCGTCGCTCTCGAGTCCCGAAGAAATTAAGTTAAGCCATGACGGAGTAGGGGACGAAGGGAAAGGGAACTGGTGGGCCGGTCGGCGGGGGTCGAATGAGAGTTCAGGGAATAAAAAGGGCTCTTACCATTCAGCACGTGGACCATTACGCTGGCTGGATTCGCGTTGCTGGGAATGCAGGTGTAATTTCCGCTGTCGGTCAATCTGGCTTGTGTCACCAGAAGTCTGCTCGTCGTGCCGCTTTCCGTCTTCTCGGTCTCCAAGGAAACCCCGCCCCTGCGGTGAACGCTGAATTATCAAAGATACTTTGCTTCTATTCACCGCGCACACGTTCGCATTTACGTTTGTTAGAGGATGTTGGTGTATTTTCTAAGGGTCGTGACGGCCGCGTTACACCAACTTGGTATAACGCGAGCGTCGAGATGCACCGAGACGCGACGGTTGTCACGTTATCGTGTTTTGTCTCCGTGTTTCCAAAAGGAGAAACCGTTTGCCCCTTTGCCGGTGCTTGTTCGCCAGTTCTCTTCCGCTATTTTCCAAAAGTTCCGACTCGCGAGACAAAAGACCATTTTCCAGACCATTGCAGAAGCGAGAAAGTCGTTGAAAACAAAAGTTACCCGAATTAAGATCTCTTTCTGTGTGAGATCGAGTCTCGTACAGCTTTCTTGCTGAATCTGTTATGCGACCGATCCACCAAAGCGACAGAGATGTTCGTGGTGGTCGAATATGGGCGATGGAGGGTGCACGTTTTCGATGCATCTCTGCTATAGGGTGCGTGGTAATAATCGTAACGTAGGTAATCGAACGGAAGCAAATAGATTCTCGCACCACTCCTCTACATATTCCTTTTTGGCGGGAGTCGCGGGGCAAAATAGAGAGAAGAGAGAGAGAGAGAGAGAGAGAGAGAGAGAGAAATAGAGAGGGGAGTAAAGGCATTACGGAGAGAACTCGAGAACTTGATTCTCGTGGCTTGTACCTGGGACTGTCGAAATCCACCACAGCTCCTCCGTGATGCCACGAAACGCTGCTGGGCGGTGTACTTTGCACATTAACGGTGCACGTGAGGCTTATCGTGCTACCCTTCTTCACGTAGACTTCTTCCGGACCCAGGATTTTCGCCTGAGCGGCTGCAACACACATCGGAAATCGGCCACTTAAACATTCCGTCCTCGGTCCCGCTTAAATTTCGTTTATTCGTTCTCTTTTCTCAGGGATACTCGCGGATACATCGTGGTGTCTACTCTGTCTCATGAATCTTGCAGATTCCCTTTAAAGCGTGTCCCCCAAAGCGACATCGAAGTCAAAACACGACACGCGGTTACATATTTCAAAATTTACGGTGCACGTGCAGCCGCTGCGTTTCATTTCTCGCCTGTCGAGTGGAGAAGTTTTTATAATTGCGGATATTTGTCGGACGGTAACAGAGTTAGAAATAGAACGTCGAAACGTTAACGCCAGAACTATCAACTGTATATTTTGTTTCGTATTTTTGTAATAGACGAAATTACGAAGGTTTCATTTGACAAAATTAATATCAACGCTTATTCAGGTAAAAACGTGATTATACGATAGCGAAGATATAATAAAATGAGGGATATGAAATTCTGTTTTTCTAACTCGTATAAAATAGATAGTATTCATTTCTAAATATCATTATTCATAGTATCATTATTCTGTGAAATGAAATATTCAGGAACTGTAATAAGTGTTCAAAGAATTTTAAGCAGAAATATATTCGAAATATATAAATGAAAAATAATTTCAATTAAATTGTCAGTAGTTCTTGCATCTGTTTATATGTTTGTCGCTGTATACCTATTTACTTTTCTACTACTATTTCCATTGTAATTATCTATAGTATATTTGATATGTCTACTACACTATAATTTTAGCATAGTATATTTGGTACGTTTAATACACCAGATAGTTCTAGTGTTAATGAGTAAACCGTGCGTCTATTTGTGGAAACGGAAAGTCGGCATTTCGAATTTCACGGGATTATCCCGAATCGTTCTGTAAATTGTACGTAATCGGGGGTGAATCATAAGATCCGGTATCAGCAAATTGTGGGCGAATGAACTTAAATTCGGCGTGTGTAATACCGTATGCAAATGCTTGCGGGCGAGTGTTCACCAAGTTGGTAGCCGTGCTCGTGTCTAACATTCGAAACGAATTTCGCGGAAGTTTTAATGGAACTTCGAAGTTGAGGTCGGTGAAAACAGAAAGGAAAAACCACAGCCGAAACTTACGTTGTTGCCGTGAATATTTTAATTGCTATGGAAGTAGAGAGATAGAGATAATCAGAGCAGACTAATTAGGCCTCGTGTGTTGTGCACGTAAAAGCGTTCATAAAATAGAAATTACTATTTATTAATACTACAGTTATGGTTTCTACGCAGCTTGACAAAAGGATCGGGACCATGCCAAATGCCACGCGAAACACCATTTCGTGCCATGATAAATGCACCAGAAAACCTTCCCATTTATATGCTTTTTGTCTCGATGCAATCGCATTCCTCGAAATGGGCCACGGTTTATCTCGAAACAAAAAATCTACTACCTTGGCCGATCGATAAAGTCAAAATAAATCACTCACCTCCACGGTACATTCTTCGTACAAAAGATAAAAAAGAATTACCCTAGAAAAAAATATATACCTTGGATGTTCCAATAATGATACAATCGAAGAAGGGAGAAGAAGGGTGGTTCAACGTGGAAGAATAGGTTGAAAATGTAGAATAATATTTTTTCGTACGAAGCTTTGTTTTCGGGAAATTCAATTTTTAATATCTTTGTTCGGCATTTATATGCCGGGACTTCCTCTGGCACTTGAAGAATTAAAAATGCAAATTAAGTTGGAGACTGTGTAATAATTTCATTCAGAAATCCACCATGGACAGTGTTTTAAATTACTTTTGTATTACGAAAATGAATTTGAGATTTCTTTCATATGAGTTGTTTCGAAATAGATTTTTCATTTAACAATGAACTCAATAATATAATAATGCAAATCATAATACAAGTTTGACAAAATATAAGTTGATATATAGTTCCATTCACAATGAAATAATAATGGCATCAGAAAAGCTAGAACAATTATAGCAACTGAATGGTCTTCCAAAACGTTACGTTACTCTAATATCGTTCTATCAGTTCTATAAAAATTAAGCAAAGAAACACAGCGCCACAAAAGTGTTGCTAAAAAACAGTATCGGATAGAATAGTACGAGTATTGAAAGTCAATTTTTTCGAAAACAGATAGTCCTACGAAAAACGTATCATTTCATATAGTCGACTTATTCTTCGCAGAATATCACCTTCCTATTAATATTCTAACTATTGGCACACTCCGTATGTATGCATCTACGGTAATTAAAGTCAAAACGCAACAAATTATCGAACATCAAAGCAGAAGCATAACGAAGTGCAACCTGAAGCAGCCACCCCAAGGCGGGTCGAGCACGTGCGATTATTATCCCTTTAACGTATCTCGTTGCATTACAAAGTTCATCAGACTGGATTATTCCGCGGGCACATAATTCCGAGGCAATTAGAAAACGCGTGTCGTCGCATATACGTGGCTGGATTCCAGGTCAGCAGGTGTGACGATCAGTGAAACGGATTCCCTTTTACTAGTTAATGTCAGCTCGACCAGCCCTCGTAAAACAAAACCATCCGGTACTGAGGGGGTTGAATTAATTAACATTAAACGGAAGGTGGACGTGCATGCACTGATAGAGCACGAGCCGGCATATACAGACATGCTGGCCACATGCACAGTGAACGGATTTTATATATATATAGATATGCAGAGGCAGCCATCCGGTGATCTACACACTGGTCGCAATAAAACGTCTATAGCAGCAAGTTCAACAGCTTGGAAAAGGAGTTCTGTTCTTGCGTGATTCTCTAACCTGAGTTGAACGTCCGATGAATGGCGTTCGGTGTGGTGGTGGCGGGGACAGGGGCACTTTCTGGAATGGGAGGACAGAAAAGATATCGAGTTAATCGATTTCGTCGAGAGAGATCTACCGTTTCGTGGGTGGCCCGGGGATTGAATTGCCACCGAAACCATCCTGATATAGGTTACGTTCGCTGTTCAACTGGTATATGTATATGTATATAGGTATATACAACACGTACGTATGCATAGCGCATCGTTGTTCATTCATGGCGTTCGTGGCCCCTTTTCTTGTCCTCAGTAACGGCCCGTCGTTTTCTTCTATCGTGATAACAGCTTCGCAGCTCCTTTACCGGCTATGTGAATTTATCTTTCCCGTACTAGTTTTCACGGCGAGTAAAGTTTGTTTCTCGGTGAATAATTTGACGTTGAACTAATTAAAAGAGAATCTTAAATATTTTTCCTTCTGGCCGTTTAACCCATTACCACGTATTTATCATAATATTATAAGTTCGTCAACTCTTTTACATTTCATAAAATCGTGAAAATCTAGTTGGAAGAAATAAACGGCGAAAGAAATATTAAACGAACGCTTAATGGAATTCCCATTCGTACTCAGGATATTAGAGGATAGAATTCGATAATAAAAATTGATTGAAAACGATCGCGAATGAAACGATGCGTTAAAGCAACCTAGATCCCTAGTGGTTTAAATAATATGAATAAAATTTTGAATATTCAGGGAGTATGTAATTCTAGTAAATTAACTGCAACATCGTCGATTTTCATTGGAAAAATCGATGCCCGCCAACTGACGAGCAATTACTGTTATGCACGCACGTATGCTGTCTCGTGATAGAGACAGATACACGCAGGAGCCACGAACATAATTAATGAACAGCGTTGCTCGTGCACGCACACTCTTCGGAATCACGTGAATCAGTTTACGTGGCAATACTCAAAGAAGCTATCTAATTAAACTGTTACCTGGAAATTCTCGATCCACACTGACGATCGAGAGTCAATGGTTCGCGAAAAACTTCGAAACATCGTCGAATTATATTTATGAAAATAATGTAATCAGTAAGTCAGTCGATATTAAATTATCGTCATATAAACTGGATAGCTCTTTCATCGGATTATTTGCATTTAATTTACGTATAAACATTGTACATTGTTATTCATCACAAATCATCAGTAGCGCGATTAATTGCGATAAAGCGTGATGATTAACTTTCGTAAACGTGTAAAGTACTAAATAATTGATGCTCGTTAACGCGTAATAGTGCACTGCACAGATAACCCGTGGAACATAAAAAGGAGTCGAGTATTTGTAACTCGATAAAGTAACGTAATTACGTGGAACTTCGATACAAGTGCTAATTGATAACGAAAATCGATAATTAAACGGAACAAACACGCAGATGAAAACAGGGACAAAAATACGCGAAAAATAAATTATGCAAACGTGAACAACGTGTCAGCATTCCTTGGTAACGTTCCATCGATCACGGTTATTTGTTCACAGACACTAATTAAACTACAGAATTTTATGCATTTGTGAGAAATTTAAAGATACGAAAATCCATAAAACGCGTCTGACGCATACTTTTATGAGACAAACATGAAGGCAATAAATGAGGAGGAAAGATACTCGAAAAATAGATCACGCGAACGTGCTAACATCGTTTGATATTGATCCATTGATCTTATAGCGGTGACTCGAACATACTTAATAACGCGAACAAGCACGATGCTCGATAATTCACAAGGACTTTTAATTGACGCCGTAACGTCAACCGCTGTTTGTAATCTAAAGTGTTGTCGTAGCGGCGTGGTTGCAACCTGCGCTCGACGTTGACAGCACCATCAATTAGGCGAATTAATTGCACAACAGAAGTACTAGGAGATGAAATCGACGGCTAGTAGGGCACGTTTATCAGAATATCCCGTCAGATACAAAATACGAACGAAGGGGTTGGATCGAACGTGTGAGAAAAAGAAATGTGAAATGGGGAGGGCCGACCTCTTTAAAATGTTAACGTTTCACGGTAACAGGCATGCAAGCGGAAAGCTTCAGTCCCTTTTCTCATGCTGGTGCGTAGTCAAGGTACCGGAAGTGTCTTTCCTGATCGACCAGGTGGTAGACACGTACGCAAACATTAAGAAATAGTCTCTGTTTCATCTAGACTCTATTACGAAGTAGTCGAATATTTACAGCGGTATAGAGGTTTTGTTTCGTCAATGGAATGACCAATCCTTTCGCGTAACTTTTTTACGAATACTTTCTACCGATCTATTGGAAGAAAATCTATTGCGAGATTAATATTTTATATGACATGAACGAAAACACAAGCAAAAAGGACGATTATTTCTAATGATAAAAATTCTAGACAAAATTCTTCTCAATTCTACATAGTCGATATTCCATCTCTACTCAGTAACCACTTGAATATCGAACTGAAATTTTCTTGAAACGTGTCAAGTACGCGAAAGGATTGATCGTAAGGATAATGTTAACATAACTGCAGTTTTACCTTCGACTCTCAACACGAAGGCTAAATTCAATTTGGGCTCGGTGTTAACCTGGCATTCGTAAACCCCAGCGTCACGTTGCTGAACGTAATCGATCTTCAACGTCCATTCGTCAGATGCTTCGGGATGCTTCACGGAGAATCTTTCGTCCCCCGTGTACGCATAGATGGACGACGTGAGTATGTGTAAATCTCTTTTACGTATCCAAGACACCTGAAAACAAAATAGCGTTGGTTGAGCATCATTGAAATTTCAACAAAAGTTTTAGGACCGTCGACGTTACTCGTTTCCAACATCGTTCTCGTCTCGACGTTTCAAAGGTATTCTCTCTCATCAGGTCGGAGAAAGCTTCTTCTCGTTTCCACGAAAAGATTTGCTGCACGCTTGATCCGATTCGATCGACCTAGTTTTCACGAATCACTGTAATTTGTCCTCAGCTAGATCAGTGGATCCAGAGGTTCTTCTAATTGCGTAATTTTATCGTTAGCGATTGGTTCCATTGAAAGTAGTTCCAAGGAAAGGAATGTTAATTTCTCATAAAATTGTCCATTATTGACGATCGATCGATAGGTAACTAATTTTACAATGGTAGGTCGAAATAACAAGAATGTCGATGAAGTGGACGTAACATTTAACAGATTTATATAATACATTTGTTAAATCTATTAGCAGCTGTGTAATAAAATTTCTATTGATCTGACAGAGCAGTCTCTGACGTCTCAGCAAAGTATAATAATACAACTACTTTGTAAGGTGTAACATATATTTTTCTTTAGTTCAAGTCAAACCACAGACGAGCCACTATAAGTATATTTAATAACACATATTTAATACAAATCTGAAATTCGAAATTAAAAAGAATATTGAATTTCCTCTTTCTCGTGTCTTTTTTTTTTTAAATAAGAGATTTCAAATATATTCGAAATTATTTAAAAAATCATATTCACGCTGATCGTAACTCAGGCACATAAAACCCGATAAATTATACAAACTCGCTCTATCAAACGGGTAATCTGATATATGACTTGCAATATTCAAAAATATTCATCGGCGATTATATCGTAATCGAAATTGAAGATTTTATCAGCGGCATATTTGAACATGTTATCGGCGAATAATTGGCTGCGTTAACGACCGCAATGAATCGATAGAGACGTTCGACAAATTTAATAAAGTGGTCCTGATAATTCAGCCGGGTATGATCGCGGTTGAAAAATACCCGAAATTTCCCAAGCTTTATCCGCTTATCGACATTTATGGCTGATCGTTAAATGTCTCCCGTAGACCGTCCGACAATTACACAAGTACGTGACGGTCGTACGACGGCCGTTCCTGCGCCAAAAGTCACCCCTCTATGGGTTACCCCTCTTTGGAAAGCGTCGCGCGCTTATGGATGCCGGTACTTCTAACCCCAACGACGGGGCTCGTTAAACGTATGTTCACCGGGAAGAAGATCTTCTCACCCTCGTTAATTATTCTCCACTGCATCCTTCTGCGACATACAGAGAGACACAGTGAATGGAACGGAAGGGTAGTCCCACACCGGGAGCCGAAGAGAAGAAGGGGGTTGAAAACGCAATCCTTCTCTGTCAAGAACGAAGACGTCGAAACGTTTGGATCCCGCGAGAAGTTTTCGACATCAGACAGTTCGATAAGGATTCCTCGTTTCGCTTTACGACCTTCCAACCCCCACATAGTACCGACCACTTTCGCGAGATTAATCGGAATATCACGTATTTTGATATCGCCGATGTTTATCACGCGCCGTAACCACGACGAATATTTTCTAGACAACCGCGTTAAAATTCGATGCGGAAATTAAACGACGTTAGCACGTCGTTCGGAATAATTCCGTTTCCGATCGAATCCGCGAAAATAATCCGTTCTCCCGCGAGATTCGAATTTGCGGGGTGAAATTTTTTTTCCCTATGCAGAAAATTCCTCTCCGCCGTGGAACTCGCGTTATTTTGATACGAATTGAGGCCGCGTTTCACGCCAGAGATGTTCCGCGAATTTATTCTGCGAATTCGAGCACCCGTAACGAGCGATATGGAAAGAGGCGGAGAAACACACAGGAGAGATAGAAAACGAGAGGACCGAGGGACGTTGCAGAGAGATATAGAAGGGAAAACGCACGACAGAGACGAAGAAGGATCTTTTAAATATAAATTTCGTGCACGAGCATTCTTTATCGTCGCGTAATCTTTTCTACGAAAGAGAAGAGGAATAGGCCAGTTATCATCTCGCGCCTTTTACATCTAGCGGACTAGCTCCACCGGGGAAAATTAAATATCTTCTAGCCCTTACGTCAGCCATTGCCCTACGGGGTCGAATATCTTCGTAAGTCAGCCACGGACATCTTATAGTTTCGAACTCGCCTCTCGGCGCTGAGATTACACGGTGGAGAACAAGGATGTTACGTGCTCTACGTGTTATAGCGGAATTTTATCCCTATTAAAGTACAACGAGGCGAGAAATCTGCGAATAGAAGGAACGTGCTTTCTGGGTGGCGGCGCTGTGCTTCAAACATTCCGCTTACGTGGCAGCGTTTTAATTACAGGAATATTTTTCTAGCGGGGAAGACGGCGGACTGAATACAAAAATCTTCGCGCCCGGTAAACATAAATATCGTTTGAGTTTTATGGGGAAATGTAATGCAAATTCCACTGCACGTGAAGTTTCTTTGCTCCCCAAGTTGGAATTACAGTTTGCCATAGTTCGGTTAGCACGGATCTGATCACGAATCAACGATCCCTTTAACGTTCTTTGAATCTCATTCAAAGTAGTTCAAACTAATTTTTCTTTTTCTCTTGTAATAAATCTCTATACTCTCGTGAAAATTGTTCCGACAAAGATTTAAGTCTCTGTTGAAGGATCAAGCTTGAAACAACGGCGTTTCTTCGCTGAGATTCGACTACGAGAAATTACCGACGAACAAAGAGCGCCATCTATACTAGCTGCAGGTTAGTGCTTGGCAATAAACGTGCCTTGTTTAAGAAGGAACTACCAAAGAAGATCAAGAAGAGAGTTACCTGCTCCCCGCGAGGTTTCCTTTCCTTTTGTACGCTATCTATGGTTAAGAGGAAGCAGATAAAGAAGCGATAGTGGTTGTTTGGAACAGATGCTCGTGATACTCGCTACGTAAAACATCTCGGAGCGCAATTTGCCGGGTGGTAACCAGCGTAAGACTTTCAGTGGCTTTGCCCTTTCAAAGTCAGAAGGACTTGCCATTTTCTGCTTAGGCCAACCCGAAAGCGACCTGGAAAGTGGCCTGGGAAGGCGACCCTTTGAATCGCTACGTGCACCTCCAACTGCGATCTTCATCTCCTATTAATCCGGCAACGTTATTCGTTTCAAGATTCTCCGGAGATTCCGGTGCTCTTGAATCAAACAAGCTTTCGAAAGAAAGAGAGGAGGAATAGGAAAAAAGGAAAACAGAAACGCCTTAACATCGGATAAAGGGCACGTAGCAGTTTAACACAGCGAAATAGTGGGAGGTAAGGGTAGAAGACGTGGAAAAAGAAGAAATGTAGAGCGCAGCTGGGAGTCGAACGAATTTTCCCGGGGATACGAAGAATTTCCTCGAGGCAGGGAATATTTCCTGTTCGTGTCTCCCTTTCGTGGCGCAGCGTGTCTCAACCCCTCGCGGGGGTGCCGCAACGTACGTGCAGGCATTTTCTAAACGGCGTCGACGGAACGACTGTTGCAGCCTCGACACGCAGGCAAGTCGTGTCGCGATTCCGTGCGGAGGGTTGCGAGCGACGAAGCGTCCCAACCGTTGACGAAGAAAATGGAGAAGCCTCCGATCCGCCCCGTGGAACGATGATTTTCTCAACCATTCGAGGTAATTTCTCAGGATAAAAGGTCTACCACGCAAGGTACATTTAAGACGACGCGGCAACATAGAGGGTTGGAGAGTGCAACGGTGGAAATGGAAGGGGTGGAAATGATGGGAACCGTTCGTCGTTGGTAAACTCGATTTACAAACGCCTGCGATGTGGGTTTTCCACTTGTACTTATCTAGGCGCCATCGTCTTATTTTCGCGCTTTTCTTATTTCGCCTCTTTCGCAGGTTTTCGCAAGATCCACGGGCGCAGTCGAGCGTGTCAATCAGTTTAAGGGAGGCAGATCGGTTTGCCTCAATTTTATTTCGTACATTCTGCGAGGCAGATGCGCGACAAACATTGACTGACGGCTGGGGATAAAAGTACGACAGCGCTGAGACGCTGGGAAATGGAACGATGTTGAGGTGTTAGTCGCGCGAGAACGTTGCAAGTCGTTTGTTGCGAACGAAGCTTTGAAGTGAAACTGTAACAGCATTAAATGAAACCTTTGATCCGTTCGAACGCGGTGATACGGGGATCATGACATGAAAATCGTACTTCGCGAATCCTGTGAAACAAAGTGGTGAGAAGATCAAACGATGGAAACGTTGGTAACAAATTATTCCTCGACGCTGGAAACGCCAATCATCCTATGGGTTCTGGCCGATCATTTTATCGTAAGCTGGTTGGTACACAGCCCGATAGAAATTAGAGATACCAATTAGCAGGTGGTATCAATTTAATGGCCACCCTCGCTGTCGTTCGTCATCGTCGTTGCAGCGAACTGCGTTCGACGTGGGTGTTGCTCGTTGATTATCGTCACCGTCGTTATCGTTGTCATTACTTGAATATCCCATCGATTGCAGCTTCTCTCTGTTCCACTATCCAGGCTATTATATGTCCTGTATCTGTGCCGCTCATCTTCTCGCTCGCATGGTCGTTCATTACCTGCCCATCCGTACTCGCTACGCTGTTAACGGCGAAATCGAGGCTTAGCATTTATAATGCCACGTATATACAGTGTCCGCCATAAGTATCAGGATATCTAGCGCGTTTAGACGATATGAGATATTTTCGGTTCACGATGAATACTTTTCATTTACCAGTTATTACATAATTGTGCAAGGAGTGGTTCTCGATAGCTTTTCAGACAATGAAATTATAATTTTTAACGCGTTTCTCATATGTCCGTATGCTGTTTGTCAATAAACACCAAGTACAAATACAAGTCATACTGAATGAAGACAGACACAAGTATAAACAAAAAAGTTCAAATACATCTTCGTTAATTGCATACGCAAAATAATTCCGCTGGAGTTAATGTGATTTGTTGAAGTGGTTACCACTTCTAAGAAAACTCTACATCTGGTCTTTTTTAGTTTTCTCAAG